CAGTATATAAGGTGGCTCAGAAGTAGATGAGAAAAAAGCAGGAATTTAAGATGAGATGCTATTTCATTAATAAATATAAAATATGAGTGCCTGGAAGAGGGGAGCAGCAAAGGGATTAGAGAAAAAGGATAAGTTTAGAATAATATTTTGGAGGAAGAATGGATCTGCTCTGGTGACTAATTCAATATGAAGAATAAGAGAGATGAATTTGCGATAACACCAAGACTTCTGATTTCAGTAATTCCACTGGCACTTTCAATGATGAATACAAATTTGGCTGAGTTTCCCTAATTAAAGGTAAAGGAAATGCCATGGTTGAGGTAACTCTTTAACTTTTGATTTTTTCGTTTTATTATATCTAGAACAATCATTTTATCATCCTATCATATATCAAGGAATGTATTATCATATAGCCATTTAAAATGGGTAAAATCTTTCCATTTTATCTAGAATGATCATTCCTATATAGCATTCAATTTAAAAGAAAAAGAAGAGAGGAAAGGTAAATAAATGAAAAGAAGAATAGAAAGGAACAAAGACCAAACAATCCATAAGGGGAAAAACTAGAGGAAGCAAAAAATAGGAATGAAAAACTAAGAGGAAGGGAAAATAAAGAAAGATGTTATGATAAGTATTCTGTAAAAGAAATAAACATAGATCTAAATACATATCTACACCAAACAAAGCACTCACAGACAAGGACATTGATACATAAACAGTTTGAACACACACAAAGAATAACAACAAAAATAAGCACGTAGAAGTTCCTTCAGACACATTAATAAACGAAGAAAAGTCAACCACCCTGAGACATTTTTTCAATAAAGGAATGTTCCCCCATTCAGACTTTTAGGAATATTGTCATTCTAAAAACTATTTGCATTTCTATGAATATTCACAGGCATAGATCAGCACTAATAACTCTGTGTTCTTATATCACAGATCAGAATAAAAATTTAACCAAAGACCAAAAAGATCACCATTCACTTAGCATTTTTCTTTCAACTGTATCCATCATATATTGACCTAAGCATTTTAGTATACCACTTTCTTGAGTCTTTTCCACTACTTTTTACCCCATAATTCCATCCAAGAGATTTCTCTAATCACTGGCTTCACATGCTCTATACTCCAGGAATATGGAACCACCAAAAGTTCTATGAACTTTTTTTGCTATGTCTCACTTCCTTATCTTTCTACAAGTAGTTGAATGGAATGCCCTCCCTCTACCACTGTCGTCCAACCCAAATTTTATTCAGTACTGCCTATTTGTTAGTTCTAGATATGGCCTTGGGTATACAAAGAGAACCAGATAGGGCCATTACCCTCAAGGACCTGACCAACTAAAGGAACTGAGGGCAATGGCATATAAACAAATACATAGGGTATGATGAGCACTATTTGAAATGTGGGTGGGGAGGTATGATGATCCACAAAGCATTAAGTAAACCATTTTGCCTCAGCAAAGGCTTCAAATAGAATGTCAGGATCCAGCTAGGTTTTATGAATGTGTTGACAAAAAATCTGGTATTCTACACATACAATGGAATGTTATTCAGCCTTAAAAAGGAGGAAATTCTGACATATGCTATACTGAGAACTTGAAAACATTATCCCAGTTACTTTAAGCCAGTAACAAGGGGACAAATACACATGATTCCACTCTTATGAGATACCAAAAGCAGGACACTCAAATTCAAAAAGACACAAATATAGTGATGGTTTCCAGGGACTGGGGAAAGGGAGGAATGGGGAGTAGGTGTTTAATGGGTAAAGTTTCACCTTTGCAGGATGAAAAGAGTTCTGGAGATGGATAGTGGTAATAGTTGTACAACAATGTGAAGTACTTAATGTCACTGAATTACACATTTACAAATGGTTAAAAAGAAAACTTCAGGCCAATAACCATGATGAACATAGATGCAAAAATATTCAATAAAATACTGGGAAACTGATTGCAAGAGCACATCATAAAGCTTATCCCTCACCATCAAGTAGTCTTCATCCCAGGGATGCAAGGCTGGTTCAACATATGCAAGTCTATAAACATAATCCATCACATAAATAGAACCAAAGACAAAAACCACATCATTATCTCAGTTGATGCAGAGAAGGCCTTCAACAAAATTCAACAGTGCTTTATGCTAAAAACTCTCAATAAACTGGGTATCAATGGAATGTATCACAAAATAATAAAAGCTATTTATGACCAACCCACTGCCAATATCATACTGAATGGGCAAAACTGGAAGCATTCCTTTTGAAATCTGGCACTTGACAAGGATGTCCTCTCTCACCACTCCTATTCAATATAGTATTGGAAGTTATATTATAGCCAGAAAAATCAGGCAAGAAAAAGAAATAAAAGGTATTGAAATTAGGAAAGGAAGAAGTCAAATTATCTCTATTTGGAGACAATATGATTGTATATTTAGAAGACCCCAGCATCTCAGCCCAAAATCTCCTTAAGCTGATAAGCAATTTCAGCAAAGTCTCAGGATACAAAATCAATGTGCAGAAATCACAAACATTCCTATACACCAATAACAGACAAACAGAGAGCAAAATAAAGAGTGAGTTCCCATTCACAATTTCTACAAAGAGAATAAAACACCTAGGAATACAACTAACAAAGGAGGTAAAGGACCTCTTCAAGGAGAACTACAAACCACTGCTCAAGGAAATGAGAGAGGACACAAACATTCCATGCTCATGGTTAGGAAGAATCAATATCATGAAAATGGCCATACTGCCCAAAGTAATTTATAGATTCAACACCATCCCCATCAAACTACCAATGACCTTCTTCACAGAACTGGAAGAAATCACTTTAAGTTTATATGGAACCAAAAAAGAGCCTGCATAGACAATCCTAAGCAAAAAGAACAAAGCTGGAAGCATCACACTGCCAGACTTCAAACTATACTACAAGGCAACAGTAATCACAACAGCATAATACTGGTATCAAAACAGAGACATAGACAAATGGAACAGAACAGAGGCCTCTGGAGCAACAGCACACATCTACTACCAACTAATCTTTGACAAACCTGACAAAAACAAGCAGTGCAGAAAGGATTCCCTGTTGAATAAACGGTGCTGTGAAAATTGGCTAGCAATGTGCAGAAAGCAGAAACTGGACCCCTTCTGACACCTTACACTAAAATCATCTCCAGATGGATTAAGGACTTAAACATAAGACCTAACACCATAAAAACTCTAGAAGAAAACCTAGGCAAAACGACCCAGAACATAGGCATAGACAAAAACTTCATGACTAAAACACCAAAAGCAATGGCAATAAAAGCCAAAATAGAAAAATGGGATCTAACTAAACTCCAGAGCCTTCTGTACAGCAAAAGAAACAATCATTAGAGTGAACCAGCAACCAACAGAATGGGAAAAAAACCTTGCAATCTACCCATCTGACAAAGGGCTGATACCCAGAATCTACAAAGAACTAAAATAGATTTACAAGAAAAAAAAAAACAAAACCATCCAAAAGTGGGCAAAGGGTATGAACACACACTTTTCAAAAGAAGATATATATGAAGCCAACAAACATATGAAAAAATGCTGATCATCACTGTCATTAGAGAAATGCAACTCAAAACCACATTGAGATACCATCTCATGCCAGTTAGAATGGTGATCATTAAAAAATCTGCAGACAACAGATGCTGGAAAGGATATGGAGAAATAGGAACACTTTTACAATGTTGGTGGGAGTGTAAATTAGTTCAACCATTGTGGAAGACAGTGTGGTGATTCCTCATGGATCTAGAAATAGAAATTCCATTTGACCCAGCAATCCCATTACTGGGTATATACCCAGTATAGTCCTTTAGTATAATATAATAGTATAATCATTCTATTATAAAGACACATGAACACATATGTTCATCGCAGCACTGTTTACAATAGCAAAGAACTGGAACCAACCCAAATGCCCATTGATGATAGACTGGACAAGGAAAATGTGACATATATACACCATGGAATACTATGCAGCCATAAAAAATGAAGAGTTTGTGTCCTTTGTAGGGACATGGATGAATCTGGAAACCATCATTCTCAGCAAACTGACACAAGAACAGAAAATGAAATACCGCATGTTCTCACTCATAGGCAGGTGTTGAACAATAAGAACACGTGGACACAGAGAGGGGAGCATCAAACAGTGAGGTCCATTGCCGGGGTGGTGTAGGGGAGGGACAGTGGGAGGGAGGGTGGGGAGGAATAACATGGGGAGAAATGTCAGGTATAGGTGATGGGGGGATGGAGGCAGCAAACTATCTTGCCATGAATGTACCTATACAACAGTTTTGCATGATCTGTACATGTACCCCAGAATCTAAAGTACAATAAAAAAAAGAAAGACAGAGAAAAAGAAAAAAAATGGTTACAATGGTAAATTGTATGTTAAATGTATTTTACTACTATTTTTAACAATTAGTTGGCAATCACCAAAAGGACAAAAGTGAACAAATATTAAACGAGAACAAGTGCAAAGGTACAGAAATTTGAAACTGTACCACAAAAGAGTTCTTAGGAAAGTCACTTCCATGGCAAAGGCAAAAGAACAAGAAATGATCAGGTTGGAGGGAGATCCAAAGGCCAGCTCAAAAAGTGCTTTGTATATAATCAAAACATCAAAAAATGCCTTGCACATAATTCAAAAGAGTTTAAACTTTATCTGACAATGTGGAAACAATCTGATCAGAATATCAGGGCTTATAAATCTCTATTCTGATACTGGCATCCCTCAGGGTTCTGTCCCCGCCCTTCTTCTCAAAACATACAGTCCAACTGTGTGATCTCATCCTTTAGATTTAAGGGCAATCTATACATGAATGTCAATCAAATAGATCTCTCTATCTCCTGGGGCCCTGTATATCAAATTTTCCATTTAACATTGTTTCAAAGCATCTCAAAATTAGCATGTTTAAAACTGAATCATCTTTCCTTTTCTTTCTACCTTCCCCCATTATTTCTCTAAGCCTCTTTCTCACCTATAATCTTCATCTCAATGAATGGCACATCATTAGACAAGTCACCTAACCCAGAAGCCTAGAAATTACAGGAGATACTTGATTCCCAGTACCTATTGCAATGGTAGTGGACTCTGAATAAACGGTTGCTGAATGATTTGCAGAACAGCAGAATGGAAGCTGCAAAATGGGATGGAGGTTAGTGCTGGAAACAGGAAGGAAACCAATAAAATAGCCCAGGAGAAAGGTAAGAAGTTTTTAACCTTGGAGAGTAGACAGAGAAATAAAAGTGATAGAAATTTGACAAGATTGAGTTGATTCAAAAGAAAGTTAAGTATAACTTCCAGCTTCCTAGCCTGGACTTTCACACGAATCATTCTGCCATTAACTAGCAAAGCAAGCTGGGTAATTATTATTCTATTGTACTTGTCTATGAACATATATCTTTCTCTTTTAACAATTGAGCTACTTAAGATGGGGAAATTTTATTCATTTTTGTATCTCCAACTTCTATCAAATTATATAAGCTCTTTAAAAATGTCCAGTAGACCAAGTGCAGATCAAGCCTGTAATCCCAGCACTTTGGGAGGTCAAGGCAGGCAGGTCACCTGAGGTCAGGAGTTCAAGACAGCCTGTCCAGCCTGGCCAACATGGTGAAACCACGGCTCTACTAAAAACACAAAAATTAGCTGAGAGTGACGGCAGGCACCTGCAATCCCAGCTACTCGGGAGGCTGAGACAGGAGAACCCAGGAGGCAGAGGTTGCAGCGAGCTGAGATCGTGCCACCACACTCCAGCCTGGGTTACAGAGACTCTGTCTCAAAAAAAAAAAAAATCACTATATGAATGATTAGGTTTAACCTTTGTGGGTGGGAAGTATTTGATATTGTTAGCAGAGAAAAAAAAGACAAACCCATCAAGAGGAACATGATGGATCGAAGGAGAAAATAATTCAACTTCAGCAATATTAAATTTAAGTATTATCAGAACACTATCCATCCATTCATTTATTTATTTACTTGCTCACTCACTCATTACATGTTTATTGAATACTTATTAGAGCAGGGCACCCATGGTACATGGTCAGCAGAGAGCTGCAAACGCTTGACTAGAGCTCCAGAATGGGTCAGAGCTAGCGAGAGGCACCCCAATCCATATTACTACATACATGCAGACTCAAAAACACCACAAAAAGTAGTAAGATTGACACAGCAGAAAAGAGGGCTGAGGCAAAAACACAGTGAGAAAACAACAGGTAGGGAGCAGAAAGTGAGTGAAATCATAAGCGAAGACTAAGGAATGCTCAAAGTTAAGTAAACTCAGACACTTGGTGTCACAGAAGGCCAGTGAGGCTAAATGTTCAATGGCGGGGTGGCATTAAATGCTGCAAGCCTGTAGCCCATGAATTAGTTCTAAATAAGGGACAGACAGGCAATTTAACTTAATTTAATTTAATCTAATTAACAAGTATTTCAGACCCAAGAACTCATGGGATTGTGAATATCTTTTCTAGGTTCTATTTTAATGATTGTAATAGAATACTTATGGAAGAAAAGATTCTTCTTATTAACTCAGTAACACCATCATAGAATTTTCCTTTTATTATAGAAAAAATAACTTTTACTTGTTTTACATATAACCCTTTTCATAGTTTCTGGTCTCTGAAGACCCCAAGCCTAATGTTTTAAAAAATTATTCGAATCTGAATTCAAATTGCATTCTACCATCCAAGTAAAAAAAAGGATCAACTCTGACCCCCTCCATCCAAGGTTCTGTTTTCACAGAAGTTGTGATGGAATATCCCAAGCAATTTACATTCTTCTAAATTTCCTTGAGACTAAAAGCACGTTTACAAAATGAACCGCTATATATGAGGTCATACTATAAACAAAGCACTCTAGTGACACTGTGAAGAATATAAAAGTATGTACTCTTCAATTTCAAGGAGCTTAAATCTAATTGAAAAGAAAAACCAGCTGTGCCCAGGTAAAACAGCACAGAGGATAAGAGAGTAAACAAACTGAAAAGCCATATGCTATGCAGGCAAAAAGTCCTTCTAGAGCTCCAAGAAAGAAAAGATTAATTTTGGTCAAAAGGAAGACTTCATAATAAAAAATGGGATTTGAGTCATAGGCAATAAGGAAAGGCATTCAGACTAGAGAATAGAATAAATCATCAGTAAGAATGGGCAAGCTATGTGTGAAAAATAATGAGACAATCAGCCTAACTAAAACAATCTGGGTTGGAGAGAAACAGGAAATAAGACAGAACAGTTAAGGTTAAGTTATATTAGAAACTTAGGCTACATGTTGGTAAACAGAACTCTATTTAGGTTCTTGAGCAGAAAGATAACATAATGAAAAGAAGATCATTCCCAATAGTCTGATTAAAATTTATGTAAATAGGGGTCTGTATTCACAGAACAATTCTTTTTGTCCAAAATTAAAACACTCCACATGAAAATTAATCCTATGTAATAAAAAGACAAGAATTTTCCTAGTTCCTGCCTAAGTTACTATGACATGCTCAGTGAAACCCAAGTCTAACACATGCACCCATGGAGCTCTCCACCCAGCTGGAGAGAGAAGGGACTTCTGAAACATAAGCCTCATTAGCATATGCTCCAAATGTTAAGAACTGTGCTAAATTCTCTGTGGATCAACACTAAGAAAGATAAATAAAATGAATTCCAACTTTCCCTTAGTTTTAGGTCTAGAAATTTCTGACTGCTGAAACTATATATACCTCATGTTTAAAAACACCCTACCTCACTTTTAAAAATACCAAAAACACCCACAGATAATATCCTGAATTGTTACCATCAATGGCAAAGTCAAAATATATGCCAAAAAAAAAAAACAGTAATAGTAAACTTTCATGCAAAAAAAAAATGTACAGGCATATTGCTAATCCAAAATACTTAATGTACTTGGATAAACTAACAACAAAATTCTCATATTACATCTCCTTTTTTACTCATTTCTTTTAGAATAATTGAAATATAAGTAGAATTTAGACAAGTTCATCTTTCATCAGGCAAAAAAGACCACATGAAAGTTTCTGAACAGGTTTCTATGTCCATCTCCTTTTTTTAGTGATGCTGCCCACACGAAGCTACATCTTAATCAGCTGCTTGGAAACATCTTAAATTTAAAATTGCTTGAAAGCATACCCTAACTCTGCTAGAATTCTTGAATGACAATTAGAATTAATAAAATCAGTGAGCTTAAATCACCTCAGAGGCCCTTTAATCCAATACTACAAGCTCTGCCTGAACACTTATAATGACAGGTAACTCACTGTTTCATCAAATGTTTCAATTAAACATCTAAAAAATTCATTTTGTAATGATCCAAAAGGTTTTCCCACATAACAGCATTTCAAATATTTGAATCCCATGATCATGTACACTGCAATCAGCCCTATATCCACACCAGCCAAGTCTCTCAAATTTTACTTGCCTCCCTAAATGGAAAAGTTACCTCTCACTGAACCACTGCCTCTCTTTTTTGTTTACAGAGGCAGCATGATGTAGTGGGAAGACCTCTGGAAATAAAGTTAGGAAATCCATGTTTGAGGAGTTTTTTTTATTTCCTGAATGAACTCTCTGTGCTTTAGTTTCTTCTAATCTAGTGGGTCTCCTAAAGTATTTACCAATTTAATAATGTACTCTATAATAAATAATTATACTTACATTGCAATTTAACTTCATTTACTGCAGGTACAGAATGCTGCCTGGGAAGCAGGAAAAGCAATATACAAGAGGAGGGGGAAAGATTTTTTTTTAACTACATGAGTTTGAAGAGTGGATGGAATCAAGAAATGAAAAACACAAAATGGATGGAATCAAGAAATGAAAATTACAAAATATAAAAATAAAAAATACTATTCTGAAATGCCAATTTTATGTACAAATGATTAATCTATGTCCAAAAGATGGAGAAAATACTTTACCTTACCTTATATTTAGTAGCTTCAATGCATTCAGCAGCACTCCCCTTTTTACATCGTAGTCTATTTTCTGATCAGTTCCAAAGCTTGGGGCTCGGTTAATCTGAAATTTACAAAGAAAACAATATTGGAAGGTGAATAAATATTCAATACATATTTGTTAATTTAATGTGTAATCTCTAGCCAGTAGAACAACTCTACAATAAACCTCAAAGCTTTACATGGAAGATGGCCCAGTTATTATTGCCACATCTCCATTCCACATCACCATAGGTCAACAGATTACAAGGGATTGACTGTTAGCACCATCTCCTTCTTGCTGCTGCCTTAATTCAGGAGCTCTACCATCAGTATAATCTAACTTCTCCCTTCATCCCACTCTCTCCACTACCCCATGCATGGTTGGTTTAAGTTTAGGAAAGTTAAAAATGATTTATCCTAACAAAAAGGAAATAGTGATATTCATGTTACCAACACAGTAATAATTATATATATCTATATGTTTAAAATATAGAAACTATCAGTGCCCCCTTTTCACTGCTCAGATCTTCAGGAATTCGTTAAGATGAAAAATAAAAGAGCTAGAGTTTTTATTTTTGTCTTTGTTGAATTTTGTTACTGTTGTCATCGTTATAAAAATATAACTGGAATACTAGATGTTTAGGAAAATTTCTTAATCAATTAAAACAGTTGGTTAGAACACTGCTGAGTTCAACACAACAGTTTAGCTTCTTAACCATCAACTAACCCCTTAGGCTACCTCAAATATATATAGATACATGCTACTAGTCACAGTTATACACATCCATCACAAGAGACAAAACAATTGAAAGCATGCATCCTACAACTGGCACCTGAAGAAATATTACATTATACTAAAAAATTACCCAGGAATACAACATCTTTAATTAGAAATGTGTAACAGTTTCACAGCAGAAAAATTAGTATAAAGAAGGAAAACAAATAACTAAAGATTACCTGTAATCCCACTACTTAACACTTAGTGTCTTGTTAATCATTTGGTAGATTTTATTCCAGATATTTTCTATGTATACATATTTATTCATTTCACCTTCCAAATACACGTCTATACTAACCATACTTTATTTTATAATCCAAGCTTTTCTCTTAATGATGTATCATGAAAGTCTTTCATCATGCCATCATTTTGATGAATGCATGGTACTCCTTTATAGAGATAGCTGGTGTTGTGTTTTGATTCCTTTGCTGATTTCTGATTTAGAAAGTGGTAGATAAAATTCCTGTCTTTGTGATGTAGTCTCAAGGAGAAGGAAATAGCTTGAAAACTGCAATAACATCCATTTATTCTAGGTCAATTTGAGAAAGGGTGTTTTTCTATTATGAAAACTCTAAGCATTTCCCTTTATAAGTGCAGAGAAAGGGTAAAGCATATATTTTCTAGGAAAAAAATTTCAACCATACTGATTGAAATCTCTGGAGTTTATAATACAATTAATGAAAATGTTGCCATTATATGTGACATGGTTATAAAATAAACCAGACATTAAAGAACTGATGAGTAAGTGGTACACTGAAATGTTATCTGTCTTTGTAGAATTCCTCAGAGTTTCCATTCCAAATTTCTTGTGCCAGGCACATCCCTCCTCCAGGATGGAACTCAGGTCTTGGTATAAAGCCATCTCAGATCTCTCTCTCTCCTTACCTATTTCAAATTCTTCCCTGTACTATAATGTAAGAGAAACTGGTCTGTGAAAGGTATACCCACACAAGATAAACTACTAATAATATGTGGAAAAGCAGGAAAACGTTTTCAATCTAGGTTTTTATTCAGGTATTTTCTTGTTTTTTTTTTTTTTTAAGTTTTATGAGAAAGGTAAAGAAAAAAATAAAAGAAGATCCACAAATGGCTGACAGAAGAAACTAAAAATTAGTGTTCCACACAGTCAAAATTCTCCTCTCTAGTGTGATTTATTTGGTTCTCGTTTCCTACCCTAATTCTAAAACAGATGAAACATAGTCGATGTTATCAAAATTCAACAGCTTGTAAATGCATTAAAAAATGAAAATTATCATAAAATATATTAAATTAGTAAACACTATTATCAATTGTCCTGAAAATAGTTTTATCAAAACAATCACTTTGTCCACAAATTAACGTACCCATACTTCTCTGCTCCTAAATTAGTGCTGTTCCCTCTGCACCAGAGCCTTTCCCCACCCCTACTTTATTTCTCTCAGCCCCGAGCCGTTACCCCACCCTTCTGCAGCCCCACAAACTTTGTTCAGATGTGTCTTCTGCAAAGATTTTTTAAACTCTCCAATACACTCAGGTACACAAAGAGATTAATCATGCTATTGTTTGTGCCATTTTCCTTTTACCTACTAGTTCTTATAGCTATTACCATAAAATGCACATCTGAATAACAGCTACAGCAGGGCAAGTATTCTTTCATCCCCACCACCTTACACAATGACTGTAACTGAGTAGGTTCTTGTTTAATTTAAGGATACTTAAACTATTGGTGGTATATTCATACTTCATGCAATCTCCGTGTTTTTCCTAAAATATGTTTTCTCCATATGAAAATTTGTGCAATTCTGCCACTAGCAATCAGTCCCTGAAATTATTCTGATTAACTAAAATCACATACTCAGAAGCACTTTCCACCTTATTCCACTTGATGGCGCCAAAAGGTTTCTGACAATGTCTGTTAGACCCACTAAAATTTCAGCAGGGAGTAAAATACAAGACAAGATTGAATTAAGACTCTTTCAACTGTTTTAATATAACAAATGTTCATTATCCAGAGCTCTTGGTTATTGTGTAGTGTTTTAATGGTTCTGATTGATCTAGAAACAATGAAAGAAAGAGTAAAGAATGAAGAAACATTCATGCAAACAAGTGTTGGTTAGTTTGAATATTTTAAAACAAAATCCAGAATTCAACCATTCAGTCCATTCTGATTTAGCAAGCTAATAGAAAGTTCCAATGAAGCAAATGTCTTTAAAAAAAAAAAGAAGAAAAAAAGATAACCGCCTTTGTCTACAGCCCTACCCCACTGAATGCTCCTGATCTCGTGAAGCTATAAGCAGGGTCAGGCCTGGCTGGGACTTAGATGAGAGACCAACTGGAAACACCGGGTGCTGTAGAATTTTAGGGCTGGGTGCTGTGGCTCATGCCTATAATCCCAGCACTTTGGGAGGCCGAGGCAGGCAGATCACCTGAAGTCAGGAGTTCTTAAACCAGCCTGGCCAATATGGTAAAACCCCATCTCTATTAAAAATACAAAAATTAGCCAGGCATGGTGGTACGCACCTGTAATTACAGCTACTCAGGAGGCTGAGGCAGGAGAAACACTTGAACCCAGGAGGCAGAGGTTGCAGTGAGCCAAGATTGCACCACTGCACTCCAGCCTGGGTGACAGAGTGAGACTCCGTCTCAAAAAAAAGGTAACTAAGATATTTATAAAGTCATTATTTCCTGCTATCCTCCTTTATGCATGTGCCTTCACTTTTTCCCCACTCCATCAATGACAAAAGACAAGTAACGGGGGCAGAAGAAAATATAGCTAAGAACAGGAAAGGATTGCTGCAGAAAAAGTAAGAAACCTAAAGAATAAAATTTCAGGCCTGAGCAAGATGACAGGTCCATAGTGCATAATCAAATGCTTTCATAGCCAAGGAAAGGAGGAATCAAACCAGACCCAGGCTGGAGCAAAATCTGAACATCCAACAGAGAGAACTTTATTTCCTTGAAGACACAATACATGTTATTGCTTAAAGTAGATGTGACCACACAGGTGCACGCACACACACACACACACACACACACAATCTTTGGTGCTCATATTAGAAAAGTATCATTTCATTGAAATGTATTTTTAGTATCTTCATCTCACTTATCACTCGTTCAATCTGCTTATGCAAACCCCGATATTACACATGAAACTTCTAACTCCTAAATCACTAACAAAAAGAGAGATAAGTGATTTAAAATGAAATATAGTGATTGATTACATCCTCTATAGCAATATGTTCCTGATGGATTTTCCAAAACATGGTATTTCAGCGGCCACAAGAAGGTGCATAACCCCAGATCAAGGAGCATAAAGGGAACTGCTGGATGAGGTCTTCTGGACCATGTGACTTCTAAGGTTTCTTCTGGGTAATGTAAATATAAATATAACTAGCAGGAAAATATATTAAAATGGTCAACAGAGATAATTTTTACTTTCTCCTTTTTACTACTCCAGGTGTTACATGACCTTTTATCATCGAAGAAAAATAGTAACTCTCACCCTACCAAGGACTGGCAGCAAACCTGAAGACATACAGTTGACAGTCTCCCTGAGGGGAGCCCCAAGTATATAACATGGCCTTTAAGAAGAAATTTACCACCTGGGGTATTGGATACTGAATATTGATTAATGAACCAATTGGAGCCTCTTGGAGAGTTTGAAGGGAAGATACACTGAAGGCAAAATCCTGAAGCCTGGGCACCCACAGAGTGGAGAGATGCTATCCAGAACTCACGACCTGATAGAAGCCAGGAGGCTGAGAAAATAGTACAGCAAGTAAGCAAGTAAACAACAGATCAGTAAAAGCACCTCCACATTTGAATCTCAATTTTTTTTTTTTTTTTTTTTTTTTTTTAGATGGAGTTTCACTCTTGTTACCCAGGCTGGAGTGCAACGGCGCGATCTCGGCTCACCGCAACCTCCACCTCCTGGGTTCAGGCAATTCTTCTGCCTCAGCCTCCTGCATAGCTGGGATTACAGGCACGCGCCACCGTGCCCAGCTGAGTTTTTGTATTTTTAGTAGAGATGGGGTTTCATCGCGTTGACCAGGATGGTCTCGATCTCTTGATCTCGTGATCCACCCGCCTCGGCCTCCCAAAGTGCTGGGATTACAGGCTTGAGCCACCGCGCCCGGCCCTTGCACCTCCACATTTGAATCCCAAATATCTGTCCTAGAAATTCACTTGATACTAATTTGGGAAAATTAGTAATATCAAACACTTTGATTCATTCTT